ACCTGTTACTCCAGCTCTAGGGATCTGATCTTGTTCCAGCCTCCATGGGTACTCACGTGCATGTATGTCTCTATATGCATGCAGACAGTCCTATACATATAATAAAAACAACAAAATAAATAGAAATAATAAAATTATTAAAAAGAATACCACTTTGGTTGCTACTGCCAATACCAAAATAATAATAGTAACTTAGACGGGATAAAAGTTTCTTTTTGCCATAGTCTGGGCTCCCAAAGAGCCTAATCTATAGAACCTCATACAACAAAAAGGGCTTTACAGATATGATTAAGGTGATGGGTCTTAACATAGGGTTTTGTCCTGAATTATCTTGGTGGACTCTTAAAAGAGGGACCTCTCTGCCCATCTGTGGTCTAAGAGATCACAGGCTCTGTTCCCACATCAGTAATGATTCCATTAACCTTTCTGCTCTTATGGTAGAAGCAGCTTTAGAGAGATGGGAGAAAGACTTAACCTGTTGTTGTTGGCATTGAAGATGGAAGAGTTAACCACAGGCCAAGGAGCAGCAATAGCTTCCAGAAATGCTAAAGCATAAGACAATGAGTCTTCCGACAATATCTCAGCCATCTCGGTAAAGTGAGAACAAAACAAGACAATGACAGAGAGAGGGCTGTTCACAAAGTTTCTGTGAACGCGTGCTTGCCAAGTGGAGTGGATCCCTATGACATACCTATGAGATTCACGACATTTTAAAGAATTTTGAATCAGCAGACATTGCCAGTTGGGACTGAAAGAGAAAGAGCATGAAATAAGAGGGGACGACCACACTCTCCTTTCTCCTCCTAACTTCTGGAGTTGGCTAACAGGCAGATAGAACTACTTAGCCACACACATGGACTACCTTTCATGAAACAAGAAGGGCATGTAGGTGGCAGGAAAGAGGGAGGACAGAGGGTGGCATTCTTTGGTGCCCCCCCACAGGTGCTGTGAATGGCTCTATGATTATGAACTTCTAACTGGTGAGTTTGCATTCCTATGACAATGAAATGTAGATACTCCAGATGTGGGGCAGAACACCAGGGTCACACTTGTAAACAGTTTATCAAGTTATATCTAGTATGATCAATGCTGTTTTGATAGTACTAGAAATTAGTGTAGAGGACTATAGTTAATTTTCTAAGATTATAACAAAATCAGCCTCATCCTAGCAAAGGCCTGTATACATTCACTATGCCGTGGTACACAAGCCATCCCCTCATATTAACAAAACTTTAACAAAAGGGGGGTAAGGGTTGTGAGAAGAACAGTGTTAACCATTATGTCAGATTCTAAGTTGTTAAAAACATGACTAGTTTAAAATTTGGAATTCCCTTTTCATCTATCTAGCAAATAATTGGCTATGTTTTAAAAGACTTGTTATTTCAAGACTCAAAAAATCTGTGTGTATCAAGGACACACACACACACACACACACACACACACAGAGAGAGAGAGAGAGAGAGAGAGAGAGAGAGAGAGAAAGAGAGAGTCTTCAGGGAGACACCAAATAGTGCCCAAAGGAGTAACATGCTGTGGGTAAGTCACAGCCACGTGGCAATATGTAGTTTAATAAAAATGAGTTAATAATTAAGAGAGAGCTACACAATAAGAAGCCTGAGCCAATGGTCAAACAGTTTATAATTAATATAAGCCTCAGTGTGTTTATTTGGGACTAAATGGCCGTGGACCAGGCAGGACAGAAACTCTGTCTACAGTGTTCCTTGAGATGCATTTTGCTGTTTTTGTAAGTAACCCTTGTGCTGTGGCTTGGCCTCTCCACTCTTCAACACTTCACTGTCCATGAGAGAACACGAGGAAAGGCAGAGGCCCAGTACCCAGTCAAGGCCATTTTTGGAATATCTCTGCTGAGCTGCTCACTGACAGCTGCCACATGAGTCATCCTGATGAGATTGGGAAAGAAGCCACCCATCTGCAGCTAGCCCATCTGAATGCACAGCACTACCACGAGCTAATAAATTATTGTTGTTTGGGGCAGTTTGTTTCACTCCAATGCGCAGCTGCTGTTGTTGAGTGTTCAGTCTAAGACTGTATTTCCATGGCCCTTTTTATTCTAAGAGTTACCAAGGAATTCTATGTTTAGATATGCAGTAATTTTTACTGAATTTATTTTTAAAATTTTATTTTTATCCACTTATCGTACGTGTATGGGTACATGTCATGGCACACGTGTGCAGGTCAGAGGACAATTTTTGGGAGTCAGTGCTCACTTTTTTCCATGCGGGACCTGGGGACTGAACTCAGGTTGTCAGGGTTGGCAGTAAGTCTTTTTACTCGTTGAGTCATTTCACAGGCCTTATTGGCATGTTCACACTGGCAAATTCTATTTTGACTCTTTTTGCATTCATGGTCCATCTCTTCTGGATGTCACATGCTGTGTGGGAGCCTTGCTCATAAGACTGATTTTAGATTTGGTGTCTAAATTGTCATGGGGCTTATGTTGGGGCTCTCCTTAACAAGAGCCACTTTATCTAAGTGGGAAGAAGGAACCATTTTCTCTACAGACACACAGACAGAAGAGCTGGAGTGGGGTGGGCCGTGCATACTGGTGGAGACAGACCAGTGGTGCAGAGGCGTATTTGTTATAGCATGTTGATCAAGGAGGCAGCTTTATTATTGTATACAGCTGAGTAAGCAGAAGGCAGGTAAGCTAATCCAATTAAGAGGTCTCTGATGGGGGACAGTTTCACACTGGCGGAGTCATGCAGGGGGAAGCTGTGTGTGTTCATAATTTTTACATATACTGATTTTAGCTAAAGGCAAATCATTTATAACATCTTTACTTTTTTTTTGAGATAGGGTCTTACTATGTAGCCTTGGTTGGCCTTGGACTTACAGAGATCTGCCTGCTTCTATAACATTTGTACTTGGACTAGACGAAGGCTTTGGCATGTCTCTGAGCCTCACCCAGGGAAGGCCTTGCTGTTCCCATGGGGCTGAGGCATTTGGATCCTCAATATGATCACACTCATCTGAATAATACACCTTCACTTGGGACTTCATCCACTCCCACAAAACGGTGGTGGGGAAGGGAATTCCAGCTGAATTGGGGTTCATTGCAAGAATCAGGACTATAGTTCTTAGGTAGCTTGCTTCTCTGTCTGACTCCCAAGTCTGGACAATTATCTGGTCCTGGCCAGTGTTCTTCCTATAGGAAGACTGTGAAATTGGACCATGTCAGTTAAAACAGAATTCTATATCTCAGGCCTGCAAATGAGGCCACAAGGAAATCTTTGTAGAGCAGCACACATAAATGATTGTACATTCTGTGGTTCTCATTCAGGTAAAAGTCCTTAAGACTCCTCCTGGCCTTTCTTTCCCTGACTGGGAAGCTCTATCTCAGATTCGTGGAAGATGGGTTTATCTGTACACTTGTGGGTCAAAGAACATTTTGATGCCCAGAGAACCTGCGTCGTTAGTGTACGGATGCGCTCACTGGTGACTGGATGTTTTAGGCTGTAAATTAATTGGAAGCTTAGCTTGTAACTAGGAGATCAAAATATTTAGACTTTTGTGTAACGTGATGTACCTTGTCCAAAAACTTCTCCCAGTTCTCAGTGACAGACTCTTTTGTTCTGGAATTATGTCTTCTCTCCATTGTGTTTATCTTACATTTCTCCTTAGTATGGTGAGAACAGGGGCACTGTATTATTTAGTATTAATTTGCTCATATTTCTCAGGAGCACTGGAGAAAGATGTTGGTGTACTGCTTGTCGTTTAAATAAGTCATTTATAGAGGATTTTATGAGAGGCATCACAACCTAATCACTGGGATTGTAAAGACATTAGTCACCAAGAACTTACATGGCAGTTAGCCTTAATGATTTCGTGCTGTGAATTTTTCTCTAATCTATTATTTTCTTGTTCTATCTTACTATTAGATGTCTCCACATAGGTGTTTGAGGAGAATAAGGCTAACTAAAAGTACTAACCAGATGTTAAAGTAGTTATTTTACTAAATGCATGTGAAGAATTAAATTAAGTATTGCTTGAAATTTTCAAAAGCCCAGAGAGAGGATTGGAGGCATAAGACAGTGGTAGAGAGCTGGTCCAGGGTTCTCCCCACAAGTCTTGGTGATGAAACAATAAAAGTTAGTGAATGGAGGTTTAGAATAAAAAAGCACCAGAGGAAATGCTTCTTGAGAAGATGAAAAGACCAGAGATTAGCATACTTGCTCAAACCAAAGCAGTCCTGACATCCTAGCATGTCTGTCTGTCATCTCTTAAGGCTCCTCTACGATAGTTATGCTTGTGTTACATGATCAGCCTTCTAGATGTCACTTGTTTGGAGGACCAAAAGTGGTGGCTTCTCCAAGCTTAGCCAATCAGATGTTCTTTCCTTGGATTTTGGATAGGACTATGGGGTGTGAAGACAAAGCTGGCATGTAGAGAGAAGAGAGGGCACTTGGCCTTTGAGGACGCTTTAGTACTAAGTAAGAGTTCAGTGATTGTGACCTTATTATGGGCAAAGATGGGTAAAAATTGCTTATCATGTATGTGCCCCAGACTCTAGCACACAGTCCAGGACCTAATAAGCTTTCTCTCAAAATTTTCTGAGTGAATTACTAAGTAGTTTTTCCTTATTGGCAATTTAAAAGACACACATATAGAAAAGCAAAACATAAACTTGCCAGCAAGACATATGTTGAATCCTGTAAGTTGAGCATGCAAATGGATGGGTGCTGGATAAAATCCTCCAGGGTAACGGCTGTGATGATCATGTCTATGCTATGCAATGTCCTAACTCAAGACAGGGATTCCCAAGCATGGGGAG